TGAGCTTTAACCTCTAGATGCAGAGGAGGCAATCCTCTGACCTGGGTGACCTTTGGTGTAGTTCTTAATGTTCCAGTGATGGCCATAGTAACCATTCTTTGTATGCGACTTAGTTCTTTACTAGCTGTAACGAGTGCTGTTCTGGTCCACCAGACTAGGGCACCGTACAATATCATAGGTTTAANACACTAGGGCACCGAACAATATCATAGGTTTAATCACTTAAGTGTACAACCAATACATAACTCTTGGTTTAAAACCCCATGACTTTCCCAAGGCTCTGCTGCAAGTTCACAATGTGGTCATTGCTTTTTTGATTCTTGGCTCAACATGTGATTTCCATTTTAGCTTACTGTCTAAGATAATACCTAAGTATTTTACTTCCGATTTTAAGCTAATTTCATGTCCATTTAGAGTAAGAGTGTCAAGACTGTCTCATAGTAGGGTGACAGCTGATAAAGGTGGTACGGGTCACGGAGCATCATGTATCACGAAGCGACGTGAAACCGTGTCATGAGTATATTACGACAGATNGGAACCGTGTCATGAGTGTATTACGACAGATGCATAATTTAATTATGTTTTTGGTTACTTTATAGAATCCGATGAAGATCTATTTGTTGATCTTGTTGTTACATAACTGTTTAACCAGGTATTTTTTACTCGAAATAACAAATAGCCACAAAGTTTATTGAATTTAGTAATACTGCAATATCATAATATTTAATTATAATGAGTGAAAAAACAGTTAGCTACTTAAGAAATAATTATTTTATCAAAAAATAATATTTTTTAATAAATATGGCAATTGCGAAAACTTGGAGTAATAATTATTAGATTAACTATTCAAATTTAATATAATTATGTATAAAACTGATTTATTTCAAAATAAATATAAAATGTATTCTTTTAAAGCTAAGTTGGACTTTTACCCCAGTTTATTATATTAATATTCGCATACTCTTATATTTAACGCAAATTTACAATAGCACATTGTTAGTGAACAACTTGGAAAATTAAATTAAAAAATAAACATATTTTACCATAATATTTATTATTTTTAAATAAAATTTCCCATTATTATGACAAATGTATTATTAAAAATTAACGGTAGCACAGTGGGGTCGCGGCATAGTGGAGACATTGCATAGTAGGGTCCAGTATAGATTTAATCTGACAGTGATTAAAATCACTATATAAGAAACGCTTCGATGCAAATCTGTAGATAGTGTTTAATTTAAAAAAATTGATGGATAATTCCAAAAGCAACATCAACTTCTATTAAAATAAAATACAAAACCCATAATTATCATACAAAAATAGTATATTTTTCAATATGGTAGCCATTTGCGTATAGAAGATAGATCGTCGGGACAAATTTTTTTTTTTCATTTTATAGTACATAAAATAAGCTTTAATTTTATATATGTTTAAAGGACGCAGTATTTCCGGAACATTTTCAAAAGTTCAGTTGAAAAAGATCTATGTTTTTTACAATATTTTAAGTTTTGAACGCCCCCTATATAAGGGGAAATTGTCCAATTTTAATAAAAAGTATGTCAAATGAAAGATGTACTTATAATGTATTTAGAAAAAAAAAATTTGTGCTGATATATACATTTTTCAAAAAGTTATAGCATTTTTAAGTTGAAAATTTAAAATCGAAAATCGAAAATTTTAACACAAAAATAGTGTTTTTTTAACTACGGCAGCCGTTTAAATGTAGAAGAAAAAGTGTCGGGACAAATTTTTTTTTTTCATTTTATAGTACATAAAATAAGCTTTAATTTGATATATGTTTAAAGGACGCAGTATTCCCGGAACATTTTCAAAAGTTCAGTTGAAAAAGATCTATTTTTTTTACAATATTTAAAGTTTTGAACGCCCCCTATATAAGGGAAATTTGTCCAATTTTAATAAAAAGTATGTCAAATAAAAGATATACTTATAATGTATTTAAAAAAAAAATTTGTGCTGATATATACAGTTTTCAAAAAGTTAGAGCATTTTTAAGTTGAAAATTTAAAATCAAAAATCGAAAATTTTAACACAAAAATAGTGTTTTTTAAACTACGGCAGCCGTTTAAATGTAGAAGAAAAAGTGTCGGGACAAATTTTTTTTTTTCATTTTATAGTACATAAAATAAGCTTTAATTTGATATATGTTTAAAGGACGCAGTATTTCCGGAACATTTTCAAAAATTAAGTTGAAAAAGTTATTTTTTGTAAAAAAGTTGCTATTTTAAATCCCCCCCAATGAGCAGGTTAAGTGTTAGATTTTCAAAAAAATGATATCAAATGAAAGGTAAATATCTAAGGTTTTAGTATAAAAAAAAATTATGTTGATTTGTTGATTTTTCAAAAAGTTATGGAAGTTTTAAGAAAAAAAAGTGAAAAAATTTCGAAAATTAGCGATTTTTAAATTTGTAATTTTTTTGGATATTTCCCCCATTTGCGGGGAACGAGGGAATTTTTTTCAATTTTTAAGGGTAATGTCTTCAACTAGATACGATTTGTGATCTTTTGACGTATTTTTGAAAGAAATCGGTCCAGTGAAAGCTGAGAAAAAGTGGCAACAGACATAAAAAAAAAAAAAAACACATTATAGTAAAATTAATACCTTCTCCGCTTCGCATCGAAGCTAAAAAATAATAGATATAAGAAATAGAATTTCGCAATGCAAATTTCCATAAGTTGAAAAACCAAGGTAAAAATATTCATTTAACTTTTATGTCATTAATTTTGATTACCAAGTCGCTGATGCCATTGTTGCAATGTTTCAGCCTTTTTTACTATATTGACCTGTACGATATTCTTATCTGGTAGCGATATTAAATTCTATACTATCTTCCAGATCTATAATATATTTGTAGAATCTTTTTTGCAACAATGAAATGTTGGTTGGCGACTTCTATTCGTATAG